TTGGCGATGCAGACACAAAATGGTTGAAAGGATCCTGAAACGCAAATCTTCAGGATAAGGACAACCCAAAATTTGCCTATCCTTTATAAAAGTTCTTAGCTAACCATGAAATGGGCATTCAAATCAACTTGTACGTTTCATAGGGCCCACAGGTGATGTTGATGACATCAGAGTCATTTGGTGGCATCCAAATTCAATGGATTGGTCCATCTGAGGACTAAGCTATGAAGTTATGCTAAAAAGATGCATGTGATCAATTTGAAATTTTTGTTTCAGAATTTGTGCCCAACCCTAACTAAAGCTAAAATGGATATACAACGCTCATTATAAAACCTGAGGATTCTATAACCCTCAGTCAGTCCAGGTGGATTCCAATTGTTAGTCTGGTATCCAGAGTTAGATAAAATGAGGGAAAATGGCACTCTTAAAACTGTCACTAATGTGCTTTGCTTGGCTCTCAGGGTTAAAAAAGCAACTGAGCCAACATTTTAAAATCAGATTTCAAATAAAAATATGGAATTCTTAGCCTCTCTTAGAAAAGATCAGAGGATCCAGTAACAATGGGCCTTCTGGCAGCAGTTACTGTAGTTGGAATGGAGAATCAGTGGCTTCCCCTGACCTGCTTCATTCATCACCACATCCATAAAAAAATGCTTCTCAAATTCACTCTGCATGTGAATCCCCTGGGGATCTTGTTAAAAATGCAGGTTCTGATCCAGTAGGTGGGAGTGTGGCCTGAAACTCTGCATTTCTGAGAAGCTCTGAGGGTGCAGATGCTCCAACCATACTTTGAATGCAAAGCTATAAATTAACAATAAACACAAATAAAAACAGAAGTAAAAAAGCAAACATTATCTTTATTTAATAATCTTTGATATTTAAAATACAACTCATCGAACATCCACATTAACAACAGTATCCTCAGTGTTCAACAGTGCTTTGGAAGCCCGGCTTTTCTAAGGACCAGACAAGAAGGCCTGTGTGTGTATTAACGGCAAAACAACTCAGACAGAGGAGCACACACAGGGCTGCAGAGTTGGGTCCTGAGCAAATGGCACTGCCACAGTGCACTTGTGTCATGGCCAAAAGAATGCTTTTTACTTCAGATGTTTTTTGGTAGTTGAATTTCAAAGTTTATTTGTACAGAACAGTAATTTTTAAAGTTATTCCTAGTAGTCCAGTGTTGTAGAAATTAGATAATCACATTCAAATGTATGTTTTCCTCTTTAAAAAAAATTCCTGAAAACATTCACCTTTGAAATATGAAGAAGCCAAGTGAAGTGCTTCCTAAATGAATCAGGCATTTCCATGTATATTTCACTAATGCTTCCCATTCCTAGTCTATGAATCCATAGTCTTAAAATATTTATTGATACACTATTATAATTAAACATGCCAATTGCTATAAATTTAGAAGTGGTTACTAGCATTAATTCTTAAAATGCCAGACCATTTTGCAAAAAAATTAAAATAGCAGAGGTTTTCTTCAAATTAAAAAACAAAAAGATAAAAATTCAAGAATTAACCAACCATGTCAATAATCTTCTCATTCATGAGAGCAAAATGGAACAAAAATATTTTACGTATAAGACTTAAAAAACAAGTTGGTTCATCTCTTTAGCAAAAGATGCTGGTTATAAACGGACCAGAAATGAAGCAAAGTTTTTATTTTGAAAATATGAAAAATTACACTGCTGAAATGATTAGTTAATCCAATCTGATTTTTCTTAATTAAGGTCACATCTGTAACATCTCCAAGCTTGTTAGGGCCCAGCTACAACAAACAATTTACTTTGAAAGTAGTGGCCATAGACCTCTCCAATTGCAGATAAAGTTTTTAATAGAAAGTCATCAATATTAATAATCGAATCCTCTTAAGAATTTAAAACATCAAGATTTAGTTTTCATTCTAGGCTATTTCAATGATTAACATTATATTTTGCTTATGCACTGAGAATCAATCTTTTTTGAATTTGCACAGGTCCAATGGGCCAATTTTAAGACATTTAGTAAATCTTGGCACTAACTTGATACTATTTAAAAATAGTATCAGACATGCAGACATTAAAAATGTGACTTAAGCTCTTACTGGCATAAAATTTACTTTATTTGACTTAGCATTAAATGAAACAATGCAGACTATGGGTAGTTTTGCCTATAATTATCCTCAACTAGTTGCGTTTTTCCTCGTTAGCTTTGGCATGAATAAAGTCTTAATTAAGAAAAATTAAGTTTTAAAGAAAAAAAGCACCTCCTTAAATATTCTGCAAACTGTAAATTATTTGGCCAAGATCTTAGAGCTGATATACAGTTTACCTGCAGCAACCTTTTCAAACAATTTTTTTTTTTTTTTTTTGCGGTACGCGGGCCTCTCACTGCTGTGGCCTCTCCCGTTGCGGAGCACAGGCTCTGGACGCGCAGGCTCGGCGGCCATGGCTCAGGGGCCTAGCCGCTCCGCGGCATGTGGGATCTTCCCGGACCGGGGCACGAACCCGTGTCCCCTGCATCGGCAGGCGGACTCTCAACCACTGCGCCACCAGGGAAGCCCCCTCAAACAATTTACATTACTGAAATATTCGTATGTTAATTACTATAAAAATGTACATTGATGGTTTAGATCAGATGTTAACTTCTCTGAATTTTTAAAACATAAATAACTACTTATTAAATCCATGACATCTATAAGTATGAAAGTGTTATTTCCAAAGCTTGTTTAAACTTTACTTATAATAATAGCATTGTTATGGTACGTATTTTATCCCGGTAATACAAATTATACATTAGAAAAATGATACCAGTAGTTTAAATATTAAACATTAAGGTGTTCCCAATTGGTAAAACAGAATGGAAATCTTTATATAAATAAAGTTCTTAGGACAGTTATCGTGAATTGCATTGTTCCTGACTTGCAGGTGGTTTAAAGTAAACAGCACTTCCTGATGTGTGAACTATAGCTTTGTGTAACTTTAAAATTTTCTTACTGTGGTTATGAGCACTGGCATCTTTTCATACTGGCCAACTGATTAAGAAATGGAACCTAAATGTTCAGTTAAATATATGCCAATCCACACAAGATGGCAGTTCACTAGTGATTCTGAATCTGCCTGCCAAATATAACAATTTCACAACTAAATAAACACATTCAAATATATCCAGTGTGTGCTCGGCCCTGCTTTAAAAATATCCCTAACAGACGAAGGTCAACATGCCACATTTCTTTAAGTGCTTTAACAAGGGTGTGTAATATAAGAACTAACCCTAACTCTTAAGATTAAAACTTAAATGTATATTCATTTTCTCGTTTTTATATTAGGTAGCTCATCAATTCAAATATATGAAAAGTTTAACAAAATTTTTCAATGGGAAAAGATACAGGCCAAATATCCATGGAAAATATGACTAGCATACTTGGGATAACTACAGAAATGTCCAGTCTTAAAATATTTTGGTTTGTAAATCATAGGGAGTAGTATCAAACTCGAACATCCCTTGTAGTTCTAAAGTTTTGTAATTCTTCTAAAACATTTTCAATTGTCAAAAGAAAACTTTAGATTTTAAAAGAAAACCATCTAATTTTATGTAAGGGAAACTTCAGAAAACTTACTTGGCACAAAATAATGACTAAAAAAAAAACTGTCTCTATCCAAGAAAAACTATTTCATAATCATAAATAAAAGGCAGTTTTTCATCTCTTTTCAGTTAGCAATAAATCCTACATCAAAAATTTTTCCCTGATAAAATGTGTGTAGCCATACACCAGGATATGGCAACATATCATACTTTAATTTTCTAAGTTCTCCGCTGAAATTTCTTCTTAAATTTTAGCTTATGAACAATTCATCATTCAAAAGGGCTTCAAAAGGGGATGGAGAATGAAGGGGAGTAGATGACAGAATTTAAAAGGCCCATTTCAGAAAGACATGGTTAATTTTCACTGAAATCATCCCACTGCATTGACCCAGCAAGAAACTCTGCATCCCAATTAAAGAATGTTTATCAAAACTAAAGACTTTCTTATTTACAGACCCAGTAAGTACTGTGACTTCTGTAATTCTAAGCTATTTAAACATGATGCACGTGTTAAATCACAGTATAAATTTAAATGTAGTTTTCTTGGTAAGTCATTTTCATGTTCTAGATCATTATCTCTGGCAAACTATACCTACTAAAAGATGTACAGCAGAAGCAGACATCTGCACTTCATGACTCAATTGTAAACAGGACAGCTCCAGTCACAAGAGGAAAAATAAAATGAAACTGCTACTAAAATTGAAGGCCAAATCTTATCTATCATACATTCATGGTGGGCACTGGATGTTGTTTTATAACAGTAGGAAACTTGCACACTATGCTTAACCTATTTTTCTCAATTGGAAAAGAAAAGCAAATAACAAGGTGCAGGAAAGAGGGTTACAGCAAACCTATAAAGTTCTGGCATAACTGAGAAGACATTCACAAAGCATTTGGGAAAGGATGTGCTCACACATTAACAAAATTCTCATTTATTCTCAAATACTTGTGCAGAGCTGATTTCAGAGTTTAGGAATGCACCAGAATCATGAAATAATGATCCCATCTTAGAGGGCTTAAAAGAGCAAAACCTCAAGAAACATTACCATCTTTCAAAAGAGTTGTAGAAAGTAATGAAAACCACATAGCAGAGAAATTGTGATCAGAGAAAATAACATGAGAAAACACCCAAGTGCACAATACATAGTCAGAGGGTAAACAGCTTATCCTTCTGGAACTGTTACTATTATCAACCAGAGGAGACACTGTCCTAAAAGGTTAATTTGGTTAAGGAGAAATAAGAGCAACTTTTAGATGATGAACGTCAGCCAAATTCCCTATGCAGAAGGGAGGAAAAGAAGATAAAATGTGGGGGAAAAGCTCTGTGGCAATAGCTGGTTATAATTAGTTGGTCTGCAAAAAGATCCAAGAAAAATGCCCTAATTTTAAACATGTTAGATATTGCACACTCAAAAAAGAAAAAAGAACAGTTAGAAAACTATTTAAAATTTCTTTAATTGCTGAATGCCTCTTTGGCTAGCGTTTGGAGGATCGTTATTTAGTCCTACAACGGATGTATTTTTCACCCTCTCAACTTTTTGTTTGCAAACCACCTAAGTCTTATTTCCTCTGTTGAAAATTGTTCTCTTTGACACATTACCAAAATGGACCCTATGCTGTAAACACACAGGACAATATTGGAAAGACTGAATATCTAAATGATTTGTGAAAGGTATTATTTTTTTCCTTCCGTTTTGAAATTACTTCTAACAGTTTCTAAAGACATGGTCACAGCTGCCTGAAGCATGTCTTCTTCACTCATAGCATCACCTGTTGGGGATAAAAACACATATTTCTTAGAAATTTCTAGAAAATTTCCAAAGTCATCAAAAGGTAAGCTCTTAGAAACTGTTTGACTACTATAGTTTCCTTTGTTGATTTTAAAAGTTTACATACAATAAAATCCACTCTTTTATAATTCTGTAAGTTTTGACAAATACATAGAGTGGTATAACCATTATCATCACCCAACTACAGAACCCTCTCACTGACCAAAAATATTCCCTCGCCCTGCCCCTTTGTAGTCAATCCCCAAGCCCTAAGTCTAGGCAACCACTGATCAGTTCTCTGCCCTACAGTTCTGCCTTTTCCTGCATGTCAACACAAATGGAATCATCATTATGTATGTAGCCTTTCAGTATGGCATCTTTCACTTAAAAGCATTCAGCTAAGGGGAAGAAAATTTAACTTTGTGTCTATTGATGATGAATTAGTTAAAAAAAGTTTGTTTTGAGAAATATTTACTCACTCACAGGAAGGTGCAAAGATAGTTCAGAGAGGTCCTGTGTACACTCTGGCTAAATTTCACCTAATAATTAAATCTTACATAACTACAGCTCAAACCTAAATCTGAATATTGGGACTTCGTCATACATGTAGATTCGTGTAACCACCGCCACCACAATCAAGACAGAGAACTGTATGGCACCATCAAGATCTCCCTCCTGCCATCCCTTTTTAGTCACACCCACTTCTCTTCCCCCGCACCTTCCCTAACTGCAGGCAACCACTAATTTGCTTTCCATCTCTATAAATGTCGTTTTTAGAATGTTACACACAGAGAATCATACAGTATAAGATCTTTTGAGATTTTTTTTTTGCACTCAGCATAATGCCCTTGAGATGCATCCAAGCTGTTGCATGTGTCCACAGTTGGTTTCTTTTTAATCCCGAGTGGTATCCATGGTATGGAGGTACCACAGCGTGTTTAACCATTCACCTACTGTAGGACATTTGTTTTTTTCCAGTTTTTGATCATGACAAATAAAGCTGCTATGAACATTCATGTAAAGGTTTTTGCATGGATGGAAGTTTCATTTCTCTGGTATTAAATGGGAATATAACTGCTGGTTGCATGGTCAATGTATGTTGAGTTTTTATAGAAATTACCAAATTATTTTCCAGAGTGGCTATACCAGTTCAAATGAAAGTTAGAAGTCTTACCTCCCTTTACTTTCCCCTGTTTATAACTGCCTTAAGTATTTCCTATATTTTACGCTAAAAACCAAATCAATGTTACAATTCTTCCTTCAGTTGTCAAATGTAATTTAGAAAACTGAAAAGGAAATTCTATTGTGCTTACCCATATTTTTATTCTTTCTACTGTTCTTTTTTCCTTCTTGATGTTTCAAAATTACTTTTTAACAGTTCTCTTTAGAGAACTTCCTTTAGCCATTATTTCCCCCTTGATTCCTGAAGAAAATTTCATAAATTCTGGGTTGAGACTTCTCTTCTTTCAGCACTTGAAAAATGTGTGTCACTTCCTTCTGACCTCCACGATTTCAGATGAGAAATCTGATGTCATGCAAATTGCTGTAGGCAAGCTGTTTCTAGCTGATTTTAAGATTTTTTTTTTGTCTTCAGTTTTCAGAAGTTAGACTACGATGTGTTTTGGCATGGATTTCTTTGGGTTTATTCTGTTTGAGGTTCACTCAGCTTCAAGAATCCGTAGGTTGGTACCTTTTGCCAAATTTGGGGAATTTTCAGCTATGATTTCTTTAAATACTCTTTCAGCTATACCCTTTTTCTCATCTCCTTCTGGAATGCCCATGGCACAAATGTTAGATCTTCCCCACAGGTCTCAGGCTCTGTTAATTTTTTCCAGTCTAATTCTCTTTGTTGCTCAGAATGGGTAATATCTGCTGTTCTGTCGAGTTCACACTGATTCTTTTCTCTGTCCTTCCATCCACCTGTTGGGTCTGTCCAATGAGTTTCAAAATTTCAGTTATTGTTATTTTTCAGTTCTAAAATTTCTATTTGGTTCTTCTTTATATTTTCTATCTCTTTCATAAGGCTATTTTTTTCATTTGTTTCAAGCATGTTCATTACTGCTCACTGTAGCATTTTATGATGGTTGCTAATTTAAAATCCTTGCCAGATGATTCTAACATCAGTGTCATTTTGGTGATGGTGTCTACTGATTGTCTTTTCTCATTCAAGTTGAAATTTTCCAGGCTCTTGATACGACAAGTGATTTTTAAGTGAATCCTGGATATTTTGGGTATTATAAGAATGTGAATCTTATTTTTTTTAATAAATAAATTTATTTATTTATTATTTTTGGCTGCGTTGCATCTTCGTTGCTGCACGCAGGCTTTCTCTAGTTGTGGCGAGCGAGGGCTACTCTTTGTTGTGGTGCATGGGCTTCTCATCGTGGTGGCTTCTCTTATGGCGGAGCATGGGCTCTAGGCGCGTGGGCTTCAGTAGTTGTGGCACACGGGCTTGTCAGTTGTGGCTCGCGGGGTCTAGAGCGCAGGCTTCGTAGTTGTGGCGCACGGGCTTAGTTGCTCCGCGGCATGTGGGATCTTCCCAGACCAGGGCTTGAACCCATGTCCCCTGCATTGGCAGGCGGATTCTTAACCACTGCGCCTCCAGGCAAGTCCCGTGAATCTTATTTAAATCTCCTCTTTCAGCAGGCCTCCTCTGACATGAGCACCAGTGGCAGAAAAGGGGTGGTGCCCTGCTGCTTCCAGATGGGGAGAGGGTGTGTGTGAGACCACTACTGTTGAACATCCGTGGGAGTTCCGGCTTCCCACTGATACCTGCCTGATTGGGAGGGGTTGGAATGCCTCGTTACTGCTTCTCACTGGCACTGTGGGGGTGGTCTCCTCATTACTGCCTCAAATCAGTGACGGCCTGATTCTCCACTACACCTCTTCTGACATCACACAGGTGACAAGCCAGAAGGATACCTCTTTATCGCTGGGTGGAAGTCCAGGCTCCCTAAGGCCACTGACACCATGGGAAAGGGGGCATCATTGTCTTCTGGAGGAAAAGAAAATCCCAGCTCTCCACTTGGCTTTTTCTGACACCACTCTGGCCCGGAGAGGCGGGGGATGTGCCTCATTACATTACTTGGCCTTTGCCAATGGGGTAGGGTGGCAGTAGGACCAGTTTATTTACCTAGTCCAGGCTGGCTGGACTAGAGTGTTTATTATCTAAAAGTTTTTGTCTTGCCAAGTAGTCCCTTTTGGCTCCATAGAGCAGGCTTTTCTTGGGGCAAAAAGAAAATCCAGAATACTGACCACGATGTCTTCCTCTGGTCCTGAGCTTCTCAGCCAGTCTGTCTTCTACCTTTCAGATTCTTCTTATATTTGTTTTATACAAATGTCCGGGGTTGTTAGCTATACTTAGCAGAATGATTAGGAAAAAGTACCCATTCATTCCTTTTTATTGCTAATAGTAGTCCACTGTTTGGATGTAGCACAGTTTCTGTGGTATGTACCAGCTGAAGCATAAAGTGTAAGCAGTTTCCAGTTTGGGGCTATTATGAACAAAGCTGCTGTTAAGGATTCATATACAAGATTTTGTGTGAACCTAAATTTTCTTTTCTCTTGGTTATATACCTAGGAGTGCGACTACTAGACCACATGGTTAAGTGTACATTTAAGTTTTTAAGAAAATACTAAACCGTTTTGCAAAATTGCTGTACCATTTTACGTTCCTACTAACAATGTATGAGTCCCAGTTGCTCTGATTCTTGCCGCATTTGGTATTGTTAATTTAATTTTTTATTAAGCCATTCTTGTAGGTGTGTAATGGTGTCTCATTGTGGGTTTAATTTGCATTTCCCTAATGACTAGTGATGTTGAGCATGTTTTCATGTGCTATTTGTCATCCATATATTTGGTGAAGTGTCTGTTCAAATCCTTCACTCATCTTTTTGAATTGTTTTCTTATTTTAGTTTTCAGAGTTCTTTACATATTCTACTTAAAATTTCTTTGTCATGAACAGTTTCCTTCTCACTCGATTTCTACTACCAATAACTGGCCAAAGTTTAAGACCTATTATTAAACCAAGGCCTGAGGAGTAACTCTAGATTTCTTTGTTGTAATCTGGACTACACTCAGGTGTTTTCAGTTTTCCCAGTGGTGAAATGAACTTATTTTCCACCTACTAATATTCATTATCTCTGAGAAACTTTTGGAGAATGTACGAATTACTGTGAAGTTGCAAGTGATGTTTACAATTTTAAAGCAAAACATTGCTTAAGTTCTTCAAGGGCACTTAAGGATACACACTAAGGAGTTAGCCTGCTCCTTAAGCCAAGAAAGTTTGGTAGATTACAAATTCCTTCAAAAGTTTCAATATAATGAAAGCGAGGAGAAAAAATAGCCTATAAAGCCAAAAATCACATGGAGTCTGGGTGTCAAACAGAGCGTGCAGGTAACAAATGGGATATGCGATCAGAGAGGCGTACCTAGATCACTGTCAAGTGCTCCTGAACTTGTGTTCGGCTTTTCACATGGATGTCCTGGTGGATCTTGCTGCTGCTGCTGCTGCTGCTGCCTGAAACATTCAAGAGTGAACGTGTATTTAAAAAACAAAACCTAAGAATAAATATGCCACGAGAAAAAATATTCACGTGGAAAATAAACGGTTCCACACAACAGAAGAGTCACTGGCATGAACACCACAGAAGAAGGCAAGAGCAAGCAGTCTGATAGAAAACAAACTTATGGTTACCAAAGGGGAGGGGGAGGGAATAAATTAGGAGTTTGGGATTCATAGATACACGCTACTATATATAAAATACATAAACGAGACCCTACTGGATAGCACAGGGAACTATATTCAATATCTTGTAATAACCTCTAATGGAAAAGAATCTGAAAAAGAATAGATATATCTAAAACTCAATCACTTTGCTGTACAATTGCAATTAATACAACATTATAAATCAACTATACTTCAATTAAAAAAAGAGCAATCAGTCGTATATAAATTACTGAAAAGCATCACAGTTCTGATCCTAGAAAACTTAGAAAATTCGAATTTATCAGGCAAATTAATGGGTAGGTATTTTCACCACAAAAATAACACATTGTACAAAAGGAGTCACTGGTAGCTATTTTGTTTTTTTGTTTTGTTTTGTTTTTTTCGGTACGCGGGCCTCTCACCGCTGCGGCCTCTCCCGTTGCGAAGCACAGGCTCCGGACGCGCAGGCTCAGCGGCCATGGCTCACGGGCCCAGCCTCTCCGCGGCATATGGGACCTTCCCGGACCGGGGCATGAACCCGTGTCCCCTGCATCGGCAGGCGGACTCTCAACCACCGCGCCACCAGGGAAGCCCTGTTGCTTATATTTAAAACACAGGATTAAGAGGGACCCTAGGTCCGGGAAGATCCCAGATGCCGCAGAGCGGCTGGGCCCGTGAGCCATGGCCGCTGAGCCTGCGCATCCGGAGCCTGTGCTCCGCAACGGGAGAGGCCGCAGCGGTGAGAGGCCCGCGTACCGAAAAAAACAAAACAAAACTAAACAAAACAAACAAACAAAATATATATAAGCAACAAAGCAAATTCAGCCAGTGGGACTTTCAGTTTCTCCCTGTTGGCCTTTGAGCCAGACACTGACGTGTGCATGGGTTTATGACTTTGGTGAGCATGGCTAATGAGGGACACATAGGCACTGGGCTCCCCCAGCATACCCTGATTCTGGAACATGGCACCAGAAAGACAGGCTGTGAGGAGAGGAATTCCTGGCACATCCTCTCCATGCCCTCTTTCCCCTGCATTCAAGAAAGTATGTCAGAATGCAAGCGAGTGACTGGTGAGACAAAGACTTTAGAGGGATAACCTTTATTCTACTTTAAAGCGAGAAGTAAATCAACTGCCAACCTTGAAACAATTCTGACGCCTTTCGTATGTGATGACACTGTAAGATGGAACATGTTCAAGTAGCAAATCAGCATCCATTCTCACTGTGCCTTTGGTATGACAGAGGCTGGGAAACTCAAAACTATATGTCTTAGATTGCTTTATAGCTAGGATTCTGGTTACCAATTAAACATTTGCATGAGATTTACAAGGCCGATGAGGCACAGCCATCTTCCTGCCGCTTTTGTTGTTCTCTGCTGGCAAGTAAAGCCATGGAGATGCTAGTTCCAGAATTCTGCTTCCTGGCAGTTTCATTGGGGGCCAGACTTCAGGTTCCCACGTCTAGGCAACTGTGGTGGCAGCTTGTTGATGCTAGGATCACAGCTAAAGCAGTGTGTTCTTAAACTTGATATCCTGATTCCCCATCATCCAACTGGGGCAGCGTTGCAGCTCTTCCAACAAGTTGGTCTGTGCTATTCTGGAGGCCTGGCCTACAGCGTGCCCCTCCAGCTCTTCCCAAGATTGTGTAAGCCCTTAATTTATGTATTAAATTCTTTTCTGCTTAAAACATCTCTAAGTCGTTTCTGTTTCTTAAACTGAACCCTGATAAACTATGCCACGCCACTGAAGTGGTAGCTCAAATATTAGGCAATCAAAAAAATCATAGCAATCCATGGCTATGAAAACATTTGTTTCCCTCCTTGTTGGGAAACACTTTTTTAGTGACAGAAAGAAAGAATCTGAATCATTTCAGAGCTACACCTGGAGAAGGCGTTTATCACACTGACATATACCTGTAGGGTACTTCACAGTTTACAGAACAGTTTTACACACTGCCTTATCTGATGCACATAACATGTGAGTTAAGGTTTTATAATGACATAGCTGACACAGCAGAGTTTTGCTCAGGGTTTTATGATAGGTAACATGGATTTGGAGATTACCACTGGAAAGAATATCATGGCTACAAAAATATCAGTTAACAACTCTCACTCATAAACTATGAATTTGTAACAGGTAGACTTTCAACAGCATTTTCATGCTTAATGCATGAATACTGTGGCTAGTATATTAAGTGTGAAGCTTCAAACACGCTACAGGAAAAAAAAAAAAAAACCTATACATTTCAATGAAAAACAAATTAGCACCAGGGTCAGTTTGGAAAGGATCAGAGGGAAGAAAACGGCTCCATAACCTTAGAGCCAAGTTCTCCAAAATAGAAGGTATTGAGACAAAGACCCATATAGGTGTAGTAATCAGGAATTCTACTGAAAGGCAAAAATTAGTTTCTCAGCTCCTTCACTAATGAGTCCTACAAGATTCTGAATGCTAGCCAAAGTTAAAAAGAAACCCCAAGAAGTTAGCTCTTAACTCTAGTCAGCAACAAGTAACTGTGTAAAATATTCTCTAGTTCTGCTCAAGTTCTCACCAGTATTTTCAAGGCCAAACCAGGAGGCAGAGGATAGTAAGCCGAAGCTGGAAACCATCACAGTACTTTCTTACCCAATCAACTACCCCCAGTCAGAAAGGAGACTCAAACATTTAAAAAAGGGTGCAACGTTGAATAAAACACCTGCATTAGTTATAGCTGGCATTGCGCTTGTTATAACTTACTTAGTCATTATGGAATGTTACTGCATTATCTTTTGTATTCTAAAAAAGTTTAACTCATTGGAAATTCTACATTTTTAATCCAAAAAATCCAAAAAACTTTTTTTTTTAAAAAAGAGGGATTTGTTTTTATATTTTAAAGACAATTTTCTTTTTCTTACACGTACTTGTGAATTTTATAGTTTCTCTATAAAGTATGTCTGTTTGGACCATTTTATTCTGGAAAAAATTGAAGTCTGAAAAAAAGCATGGCAGAAGTATCACTTGGAAACTGTTCTGGAGAGCAGTTTAGAAATCTGTACCAAGGCCTTAAAAATGTTCATGTCCTTTAACTTAGTAATCTGAAATTCTTGGAATAATTAGCAGAAATGATGAGAGATTTGAGGCATAAAGTCAATACAAGGATTGTTCATTGCATTATTAATCATAATAGCAAAAATCAAAAGGTTCATAAATTGTGATAAATTCATTTTATGAAATATAACATAGCCTATTACAAAGAATATTTAGTATCATGGGAAAATGGGTATAACTGATATACAATATATGGGCGTTTGTGTGACTAGAAGCATATGACTGCCAAAACACATCAGTTATTAAATGTAGGATTATGTTTTTTTAAATTTAGATATCTCTAAAAATAAATTTTCCAAAATATTATTTTTTATCGAATTAAACATTTAAAGCTATTTTTAGCAGTAACTAGATAGTTGATGATATTATAGAACTACCATTAATAATTATCATGTGATAATTATTCCATTATTGTATGACAAGAGTATTTGGCTTTATTAAGAAAAAAACAAATATTTTAGAGACACACACGGAAATTAATACAGATGCAGTATGATTTAGATTTGTTACAAAATAATCCCACCCTGGGGGTGGGAGAGTAGAAAGCATGGGAGATGAGGGCATAAAAAAAAACAAGATGGCCCATGTGCTGATATCTGTTAAATTTGGGCAACAGATAAATAGGGGTTCCTTATAGTGGTTTCTTTACTTTTATATAAATTTGAAGTTTATCATAATTAAATTTAAAAAGTTAATTTTAAAATTTAAAAGGGAGTGACAAGCACTAATAAGCACTATTTTGAAATTTTATACATAATTAAATCCATTAATCTATCACTGAATAAAGACTAGAAATATCTCACATTAAGAGGATGTCAGTTGATCAGAACTTTCCTTCATATACTTCTGAGCTGTGACTTAAAAAAAAAAAACAGAAAACAAAGTAAATATTATCTTCATTATACCATCAAATGTAAAATGCTCTAACATTTTAGATACTACTAAAGTACTACCAACTCTGATGTGTACGAGTCTTCTGAATTGCAGAGATGTTGAAATGTGAAAAAATGGGCACCTTAGAATTGTTGAAATATAGTAAATAACAGGCCAGACTCAGCCACTGGCCTTTGTTTTCTGACCTGGGATCAGAGGATCTGAATAACATTATAGATCTTGCGATCTTAAGATGAAGTTATATCATTAAAAAAAGAAAAAGGGATGGGGCTTCCCTGGTGGTGCAGTGGTTGGGAGTCCGCCTGCTGATGCAGGGGACACGGGTTCGTGCCCCGGTCCGGGAAGATCCCACATGCCGCGGAGCGGCTGGGCCTGTGAGCCCTGCGTGTCCGGAGCCTGTGCTCCGCAACGGGAGAGGCCACAACAGTGAGAGGCCCACATACCGCAAAAAAAAAAAAAAAAGAAAAAGGATGAAGACGTGAGTGACAGTTACTGGAAAGGATAATTTTATAGGTGAAATTTCTATTTTGAAAGCACTTATAAACCTGGGCACAAAGTTAGGTTTTAGGAGCTGATGATTCAAGATTTATGGTTACCCTCATGTCCCTGATGCTGATGGGCCTGCAGTACCCCCCTACTGTGGCAATGAGTGGAGCAATTAACCACCACCTCTATTTGGGGGTGTGTTCCCCTACCGCAAATGCTGTTTTTCCTATTAATTCACAGGAGAACTTTGCAGGGTTGGTCAGGTAACCAAGAAGTACATTCAAAGAATCATTAGGCTTTGCTCTTGCCTTGACCCAATTCCATTCTCCTTTTGATGACGAATTTTACAGGGTTTCCTTCACCCTATTTCATGTAAATTTAATTAGTACTGGGGCAAAGTTTTCCCCTAAAAAAATATTTTTTTTTTATTTATTTATTTTTTTTTTCCTTGCGTTATGCGGGCCTCTCACTGTCGTGGCCTCTCCCATTTGCGGAGCACAGGCTCCGGACGCGCAGGCTCAGCGGCCATGGCTCACTGCCCCAGCCGCTCCGCGGCACGTGGGATCTTCCCGAAACGGGGCACGAACCCGCGTCTCCTGCATCGGCAGGCGGACTCTCTCAAGCACTGCGCCACCAGGGAAGCCCTAAAAAAATATTTGATTTCACAGTTTATTAGCTACAAATTTTTATTTATATTTATTTATTTATTTATTTATTTGCGGTACACAGGCCTCTCACTGTTGTGGCCTCTCC